GCTTTAAAAGCATGTCTTTTATTTATTTATGTTTCTGTCTCTTTTGATATGTTCATCTTATAGAATAATAAATACAAGTTATTATTCTCTTTTATAATCAGAATAGAAAAAATATTTCAATGGTAACACATATTGCGTCATGATTATTTCGTTCGATGTGTTTATGATCGTATGTATTTGTTTAGTTGTTATACTTGCTATTATATTTTTAATTATTATTATTATCGATAAAGTATGTCATAGAGTTCCAATCATTCTAATTGCTAATTATTTATGTTTATGTGAATTTCTATTTGTAAATATCTGTTGAGTTTGATTATATTTCGATTGAGAATTCATGTTAATCAAATTGATCATGAAATTGTCTTTTGTATCTTTCGAGGTTATCTAAGTTATGTTGGATATAATTTAAAAAATTATTGGTTGTTATTACAATCAATGTATCGATATATAATAATTATTCATTTGACCGAATTTATTTTATCAACTATGTGCACCAAGCTTTGATTTTATAAAGAAGGTTTTTTTTACACAAAGAATATGTGTTTCCATCGATTTGTAAATTGATTTATTCTGAGTTTATTTGTGTAGAAGATCTTTCAAGCGTAATTCAAAGTACAATTGTTAATAAATTTGTATTGAAAGGACTTCAACATATGTATTTAAATTTGACTAATGGAACTGGTGTTTTTCTCGAATATAAATGAGTCGTCAAACTTTTATGCACAACCGAAATGTCTCGATATGAGTATGTTTTTTTTCGTCATGCCCGATCCACCGATTCTGGTTTTTATATTTAAGTTGTGTTAGATCGAGTATCAAATGTCCATAGCCAAATACTAATCCATCGAAAGAAATTACAAACTCAATGTAGTATTAGTAGTAAATAAAAAACAAGCAACTACACAAGTTAGTTATTAATCATAAGATAGAGATATTGGTTAAATATTGTCGTTATATTAAGTTTATTTTATTTTTGAAATGTAGAAAAAAACTAATTTATATAATATCCATTTCAAATATTCAATTGTTTAATTAATATAATGCTGATGAATAGCAAGAAGAACACCAGTTATAGACTGAAAACAATGATTAGCTATTGGAATAAAATAAACTTCAAGTTTAACATTAGTACATCCTGTATATGGCTAAGGATAAAGTTCAATATGTTGTGAATAAATTCCCTAACAATAATTATTATAAAGAATAGTTTGATAATCTTTATTCTATAGATTCATTGGGGTGTTAAAACTGCTTGAGCAAATATTTTGTTAATAATTATAAAGTATAATAAATAATAAATTTATATTGGTATGAATGTATGAAAATGAGAAATAAATATATGAGTATTTATAATCAGAGAATTTACGTGTATAATAATAATAATATAAATTATTATTTATAAAGCATTGAAATATAAGGCTTATAATATATGTCATCAATGATAAAAATAAATATTGTAAAGTACGATTGAGTCCATGAAGAATATCTCTGAATATAATCAAAAGTTGTTTTAATTTAATCACATTTATTATAATAACTCTTTTTGATAATTCTTATGTTATTTCAATTGCAAATTTATTCCAACTGAATTATTAATAGCTTCAAAGTGATCTGAATTTCTTAGAAAAAAGTTTGAATGTAGTTTAAATGATCTGTAACATTTTTTTTCATACAATTAAGTCTTTCATGATTAATTTTTATTTTGAATTTATTTAAATAGTTATGTAAGGTTTATACAATAATAAACGACTATAATTAATAAAACAGAACTACATAAGTTTAATTGAATGATGTTCATGATGTTGTAGAACGAATTGTATATTGTATAATTTGATTAGAAAATATTCAGTCATAATTCTTTGATTTATTATTCGTAGAATGAAAGTCTTCAATGTTATAAGAAGAGCAACTTTTCTCATATTATTTTGATGATCGTTTATTTGTTTTTCATTAAAATAGTATTACAAAAGAAATTAAAGTAATTTCATCAAGTTAAATTAAATATTTGTATCGGTTTGATCATGTATCAAATTTTAAAGATTGATGCTATTATATTTTTCGGAGGCAATTTTGAAGATGTTCGATAGTTTAACATTTAACTAATAATTCTGTAAGATTAAATATGATAAAAGCGAAAAATAATTTTTCTATTTACGTAAACACATTTATGGGAAAATCGTGAATCATATTTGAACATACAAACAAATTTTTTTCCCATTTCAGTTTTATTTTATCATTTCTTTTTTAAAATAGAAAAATAAAAAAGACAAGAAACAGTTAATGGTGCAAATAAGACTCAATGTATTTTATCATGAGTTTAGATGAAAATATTATTGTTATTTTTAATGGCACTGTGAGTAGTAAAGTGGTCATTATCAGATAAAAATTGAACGGTCTCGTAACATTCGCATAGGTATAAAAAAAGTAACAAATTTATTTAAAAGTTCGAGAATGGATATAAATATTAGTTTTATCTCATCTTTATTGACTTTCAAGGTATTACCTTTATCTCACGCAGATAAACAAAGTATTTGTTACTTAGCATATCACATAATTTTCAGTGTATATAAATTATTTTTCTAAAAGGAACTTTTATTATAAAAAATAATTCTAATGATTTTATTTCTAATCAATGATATAAAAGATCGAGGTATCAGATTTTTTTCAAATGAACCAAGTTAAATCAATGACTTTTCTCATGATATAATAACATATCGAATTATAGAATTATCAAATACGTAAGATTAAAAAATGTTAAATAAAGAATTGTCTGACCTATCAATATCATAAATTTTTATTGTAATATTGTGTACCTTTGTTTTACTTTAATTTCATTGAATTATTAATCTTGATTCATGAAAAATTATCTCTATATCATTCGTCACAATGTTTTTTCATCGATATGTATGACAATTTATTAAACTCAGCTTTATTAATGATTTTCAGTCGATTATCAATGCCAGTCTAATAATTTCTATTTTTTTACATACGTTAAATGAGTACATAGATAATAAGATTATTTATATACATATATTTACGACAATTTATTTATCTTTTTTTTTTAAAAATAGTCGATTTTCAAGATGTTAAGAAAATAAACTTCTCATTGAATTATATTAAGTTTTACAGTAAAGATATTCGACTAAAAATTATATGAGCAATAAACTTGAGACAATGTATATACTGTTGTTATTGAGAATTATTTTTTGAAGAAAAAATCTTCCTATTATTTTGTGTATTCATAATTTGGTGCATTGCATATACATGAATCCTTTTTTATCTATTATCAAGTGACTAAAAATAAACAAATTGTGCATTGTTAACGATAATTATTAACAGATGTAGCCAATGAACAAAATTTCAATGTTTATATATCTCCCTAATATGGATATGTCCATTTATATATGCTATTTTATTTATTTTAATGAATAAAATCAAATTTAATCTTCATAGCCAAATAGATCGAATGACTTTGGGATTTTTTTCTTTGAAGTTTATACAGCACTTTCCATCTATGAAATTCCAATATGATTGACTATGATGCCTTTTAAATTAGTTGAATATATTAGAAAAATGAATAAACGAACAATGTCAACAAATATTTTAATTCGTGCTAAGCGAGAATTGAAAATGCTTCAACGTAGAGTGACATTTGTGTTGATTATAATTATAAGTGCTTTTCGTTATGAAATATTTTCTTGTATGAAATTTTTACTCATCTACTAAAATATTATACTCAAATTGGTTTTATATTCGTTTATGTATTATTATTAATTGTTATGATTCTGTATTTGATTTTATAGAACTAGTTGAAAAATTTATAATGAGAAGATTAAATATAAGAAATAATATGATAGTATCGGCGATAATATAATTAGATGAAATGAAAAAAGATACAATATGTTGTCAAGATTAAAGGTGGAAGAAAGAATAGTTTTATAGTTTACTTAAATTTTTTTGACTATGTTATAATCTTAATTATAAATAATGATAGTAAATGGTAAATTCATATTTTGAAGAGTATTTATCATGGAAATTGTATGACATTATTTTCTTGATGTGAACATCAAATTTTTCAATCATACCAAGCTCTATATGTTCACAATAATATTTCGCGTGACAATTTTCTCAGCTTCTTTAGATATTTGTGAACTATAATTTATATAACAATTCAAAGATTGAACATTCAAAGAATAAACCTGACTTTTTTTGTGTTAATTATCTAAGTTGACACCTCGTAATGATATCTAATGGTGGAATTTTTGTATGTAATATTTCAGTTAATTAACTATGTCATTAATGATAATTTCGTATCGTATAAAACCAAATGCGTTAAATTTTATAGTGTATAAATTAATAATTTGCTATTTTTGAGGAATTTATTTTTAAATTCAATGATTGTTATATTCTATACTGTTATTTTTTGATCTATTTTTTTTACATCTATAGATAGATGTGGATTTGATTCATGATGATAACAGTAGTATCTACGTTTATTTTTGAAACAAAAAATTTTTCATTAAAAATATATAGATTATCTAGAATTTGAATAAATTATGAAGATTAATAGAATGATGTTATTATCTGATATTTTAAGTACGATACGATCGATATGGATTGTATAATCTATGAACGAACTTTTTCAATTTCTGTAAAGTTATTTTGCTTTTATTTAAACATTAAATGTAAATAAAAAAATGTGATTATCTCATGCTGTGTAAGTATGATATATAACATTTTTTTTAACTAAATAATTTTTTGATGTTATATCTACATCGAAGTACGACTAATATCAACTAATGAACTAATATAATCAGACAATATAATTTATACACGCTACTCCTCGATTGGCTATATCTGTATTGGATACTTTTTTAATCGAATAAAAAATTCAATTTTATTTATTTCTTTGTTTTGCGCGCGTAATTTTACTATTACTTGAAATCAATTATAAAAAAAAATTAATACTAAGATAGAATATTTATTCTATCTTTTCAATGAAATTCCTTGTATTAGGTGACACTCATGTTCGACACATGCCATCAAATTTTTCAACATCATCATATTCGTTAATCACCAAGTCTATTTCAGGTTTAAAATTTAAAGATTATGATAAAAAAAACCTTTCATTATTTGATTTATTATTTACATCTGAAATTCAACTTTTGTTATCTCAAGTTGATGGAGTTTTATTGTTGCTTGGAACTAATTCAATTAGAATTTTTCGAGCATCTACAATTATTTCTCAAATTGAAGAAATTATTTTTTTTCTCCGACAAGTATATCCTCAATTTAATCCACGTCAACGTATTATTATACCATTATGTTTTCCTTGTTTGAAAACTACTAGTAAATTTTGGAATAAAATTAAATTAACATCGAACATACAATTGTATAATAATCGCTTATATCAATTATCATATCGAATGAATTTTAATGTTATAAATTTTCGTTTAAGAGCTTATCAATTAGCTTCTGATAAAATACATATACAGCATCATTACTATTTTCGTATTTTTAATTTCATGATCAATTATTTGAATAATGTAAGCAATACTTTATCTTTAATTTCATGAATTAAGTTATGAGTTTTCAGATCATAGAAAATGAACATCACAACTGAATAAAATAATTTTAATATTACACTCAAAGTTGAAAGAATTAGAACATCGTTAATAAATATGTAAGAGATATGACTTTAGATGTTTCTCCATCATAATGTTATTTTATTTTTTAGAATTGTTTTGTTATCTATTATGATTATGAATATCATATAATTATATTCGAATAATTAAATAAAAAGCAAATGAACTATTACAATTTCTTTTTCTCTTTCTCGTAGAGAAGAGTCCAGTAAACATAAATTGTCTGACCGATTGCTTGCTTGTATGTTTGCAGGGTCAAAAAAACATTGAAATTTAATTTTTCAGATACTTCCGAAAAACTTTGATTGGGGGGTAATCGAGGGCGGGGAACTTGAATCTGAGGTTAGTTTATTAAAATTAACTAGTTAATAATCAGTTAATAATTAGTATTGTTATATGTTCGAGTAAAGTTTCACCGAAGGGTAATCGAGTGTGAAGAATCCGAATCTGAGGTTATTTTTAGATAACAATCAATTAATAATTAGTTAATAATTGATAATATTAATTTTTGAAGTATTTTCGGAAAAGTTGGACTAAAAGGTAATCGAGTATGGAGAATCCGAATCTGACATTGATTTATTAAAATTAATTAGTTAATAATCAATTAATAATTGATATTATTAATTTTTGAAAAAGTTTGATCGAAGGGTAAGCGAGTGCCAAGAATTCGAATGTGAGGTTAATTTTAGTTAAAAATCAATTAATAATTGATTAATATTATTAATCTTAACGATAGTTCCAAGAAAGTTTTACCAGAGGGTAGTTCAAGAATCGATTTTTTAGAAAAGGCATTTTTGGGGCATTTCGATGCGGAGACTTCGAATCTGATGTCAGTTTTATAAAATAATTTTGTGGATCACTTTTTTAGTGAGAGAACCAATTTTTATAAAAAAAAAATTTCATAAGGGTTGACCGAAGGGTAAGTGGGGTGGAAGAACACAAATCTGGTGTTAATTTTTCCAAACTGTATAAGGAAAAAGTTTAGTATTGTAGAATACGATTTCTACGAGGAAGAGCTGAGCGAGTCCGCAGACGAGCGTTACTTGTTGTTTCAGAATTTTAAATAAAGCATTTAATTGGTAATTTCTTTGTTCTTTTTTATATACGATTAAATTAGTGGCGTTTATCCCTATCATTTATTGAGTTTGATGTAAATCAAGTAAACACTCTAGATCAGCTGGTGCATCTGGCAATGGCCATAGTCTTGTTTCGATATTATCTATAGAAAGTTGATCATCAGCATGATCCGAAGTATAATGCACAAGTACGTAGATGTTTGAGTGATTTGCTAGAAGAGCACGAAGAAAGTTCAGTATATGTCCACGATGAATAGGTTCATGATATAATGGAAACTTGGAATCTATTTTGAAAAAATAATCTTTTGTCAATCGAAAACGACGTAAACAATAATAATGATTATTTTGTTGAATAATTAATGCTTGAACATTGTGAATATTAGATAGAATTAGACTTTGTACAGACGTCGTATTTCTTTCTAATGCATCAATTTGTATAAATTCAATATTAAATACATTTCTAAGAGCAACTTTTAGAATTTCGATATTATAATCTCCAGTATTTTCATAATAATAATCTGTAACATTTACTGCGATTTCATGTTGTAATATTTGCTCAGTAGCTGCTATATGTTCAGCAACTTCCTTTAAATATTCATCACTAAATAAGTCAAGTCGTTGAGAAACTGCACGTAGAACATGTCGACCACAATAATTTTCTTCTTGTTGCTCACAGATAATAATATTTTCAGGTTTTCTTTTCGATTTTCTTGTAAATGAATTTGACTTTTCAAGTTTGAATTGTTTAATATTAACATGCTTTGATATTGATTCAATACTTGTTTTTGATGCTATCGATGATGCTTTATCAATTTCAGAGGGTAGCGAAAGACACCAATCAATATACCTCTACAATGAGATATGAACTGTGATGGTTAGAGAAGAAAAATATTTTACTTCAGTTCTTAAATATTGTTCAATATTAATCGGGTAATCTTTTTCAATTGTTCCAAGACGATACATTTCATTAAGTGCAACTTTGGATACCTTAAAGACGAATACTTGTTGATAGATAATTACGAAAAAAAAATTACTTTAAAAGATTTACGATCATATGCCAAGATAATAATATCACTTAATTTTCTTGTACGACTTAGAATTGTATAAAACATGCCCGACTTCCAATTTCTACCAGTAAGTTCAACAACTAATTTGTTATAAGTCATGCATTGTGAACGATGAATTGTTATTGCATAACCAAGATTAAGTGGTAGTTGTCTTCGTGTCATCCAAATTCCATTTTTGTCTTTGAAGCTGACTTCTTCTGGAACCATTTTATATAATGAACCATTATCTAATTCTTATGAAGGAAAGAATAATCTTAAATAGATTAAGATTTAAACTATATTACCGAGTTCAACATATTTTGGTAAAGCTGCTCTTATTGCTCGATCAAGATTTGGGAATACGCATCGGTTCGACGTTGGTAATATAATATTATCATTATTATCCCAAATAATATCCTTAACAGTTGCTTCAGTTCCATTCACCATTGAACCATCAAAATCAATATTACGTCGACAAATAACACGTGCACCAACACATAGCGGCAACTGTTCAAACATTGATCCACATTCATTTTCATCATCGGGTGGTTTTAGATGAATTTTACAATCCTTATTGCTTGCTTTAATTGGATTAAAAAATGAGGTTCGAGCCATACCAACTTTCTAAAAATGTATAGTAATGTATAGAAATTTGTTTCTAAATTTTTTAACTGACATCAACTGATTGTATCATCCATATTGGTTTTTTCAGTTTTGTTGCAATTTCTTTTATTTTAATTGAGTTTCTCTCATTTGTTTTAGCTCGTGTACTATATGCATATATAGCATTGGCAAATTCAGTTGATTGAAGTTCAGCTAATCGATCTTTATAATATAGTGGATTATCTTCTTTTCTAATACTTCTACTCTTTATTAAAATTTCATCTTCTTCATTGTATTCTCCTGATATTTATTGTATTATTATTATTACTTTAATCAAAAAGAAACATACCCAATCTCATTCGACAAAGAATATCAAAGAATTGTCTATCTTCACCTTGTCGCATATTAATATTGAAGTTGATTGGTCTAAATAAATCAGCCCAAAGAGAAAAGGTTTCACCGGGAGGTCGCCAAAAGATTTGTTTGGCAGCGACTGGTTCACACTGAGCCAAATCACCAAATAACAAAACAGGAATATTTCCAAAATAAACACCACTTTTATCGGATACTTCAAAAATTTCATTCAGCCGTTTATTGACCTTCTGAAAAAGACTATGTGAGACAAGTGAGATTTCATCAATAATTATTAAGATTAAATCACCGAGTCTGTTTCGTAGAGAATGTATTTTGAATGATGGAGCATTGTTTGGTGTTGATGTATTATCAGGACGCTATTTATAAATCATATATTTATTTTCAACTTGTAAGAAAACTAAATCTTACCATTCCTAATGCAGTATGAATAGTCCAACCAAGAATATTTAGAGCAGCTTTTCCAGTATGTGCCATTTTTAGTAATCCTTTTCTTGGACGTGGGCGATTTCGAATAGCAGATTCACTAATACAAAAATCGGTTAACATTTGTTCAATAATAGAAATGACATAAGATTTTCCGGAACCAGCTAGACCATTCACCACTATATGAAAAGGAAGTGGTTTTGGCGCATGCTTGAAGCGTCGTCGACTTTCTTCATAGCGCATAACTGCTTGAAGATATTGCTTGAAAAAATTGATCAAAAATCGTTGTTGTGTATTAGCTGATGCTAATAATTCTTGGGTTCGTGTAAAAGGACAGTTAATTTGCATATCATTTTCCTCATTAATATTTTCATTTAAAGCATTTTGATTTAAATCGATTTTACAATTAATAGTATTATTATCATTGATTTCATTACTATTGTCATTAATATTATCTTCAATATCTTCTTCATCTTCTGCTGTAAATATAAATGATGTTCTAGGTTTGATAACAAAATCATGAGCATTTAAGTCACATAAATGTTCAAGTGCATTAAGCATTTGTACTTTGTAAGCACCAGGTAATGTAGAAAACTGTTGCATTAATTTACTTTGATTTTTTAATAAAATTTGGTGCAAGACTTTTATATCATTCTCTACAATAGCAATAGATAAAGTTCTCATATATTTATTAATCAAATTTATAAGACATATACCTTGTTTATTATTAAGAAATTCTTCAAATGGATCTCGATATGGTATTCCGATCGAAAGAATCGAATAAATAGCTAACATGGAATCATCATAACGACAAGTAAAACTAATAGAAGACGGTTCTTTGTGTTGAATTAATATTGTACCACATGATAAAACTATTCGAGGAAGTAAAGCTGATGTTTTAAGTAGAGGTGGTTGATTAAAATCAGTACGCCAAAGAGGATTTTCAACATATGGTTCTTGTAACATTTCTGCTACATTCATTGAAGAAGATCGATCGAAATCAAACCAAGTCAAAAATTCAAATAAAGTCATATGATCAATAACAGATGGAGTAGATGGTCGTTTTATATATCGATGTGTTAATGATTCAACAAGGTCATCGGGAGTATTTACTTCTGTTCGTCCACGTTTTAGTATTCTTTCTTCATCCCATGGCAAAGAAATATATAAGCTTTTGCATCTCATTGATGAATGATATAGAGGTATACCTATAACTCATACATTATCTATAACTCTATCAATTATATATCGATATACCTAAAACAGTCCATGATGCTTCAACTTTACCGACTTGACGATGAGATAGTACTGCATTTCCTGTCTTCAAAAGAACATTTTTAGCCTCCATTAAACTTGAACAAGTACAATTAGACATTTGGTATACTAAATTTTTTTCCATATGAGCATTCTTTGCCACATAAGAAAATAAATATTCTGCAGAAGCCCATGGATCTGTAATAACTTGAATATCATGGTTACAACGAAAAGTTTTTAACAAATTTAAATTGTATGGAATTATTCGTTTCGACTATAATAAAGGTATAAAAGTAGAATGAGTATAAACGAAATAGTTAAATGAATAAGTAAATATATAATTTGATTATACCTCTTCAGTTAATCTTTTTATAATGATATCTCGATCTCCTCTTGTTAATATACGTGCTTCTTTATAACTGCGAAAGTGACTCTCATTAGCCAAACTGAAAGGACTTCCAAAGCGACAGCCTAATCGTTCAAAAAATTCTTTCTTATCTTTTAATTGTTGTAGTAGATCGGGATCTTTCTCAGGATCTATTTGTTCATATATTTCATTTTCATGTAAGTAATTTTTATTAATATCTTTTAAATGATTTGCTTTGATAATCTTTGATGTTTGTTCATCTTTAAATTTACGACCTCGACGAATACGAACTTTAACGCTACCTGCAAAAATATCATATTACAATTATATCTTCATGAATTAATCAGCGAACCTTTTGAACAAGTAAACGTATGAATGTGTGTTTGTTTCTTTTTTACAAGTCGATAACCTTCGAGATCTGTTTCTTTGTTTGGTAATGATGTATCAAGAAATTTATCAATGAATTCAATAATAGCTTCGCGTCCTTCAGATGTATCAATAGAAGGAAAATTATCAAGCCAGAGTAGAGTATGTAAATGTGGAAGACCACCACGTTGAAATTCAATTTTAAAAAAATAATTTGTAACGGTATAATCGATGAAAAAAGGATGTTTTTTGTCACTAATAAATTTTTCAAATGCAAGCATTCGCTTATGACACATTCGTGCTACAAGTCCGCTATTTTCATTTACTAATTGTAAATAATCATCATCAGAAATATTATCAATTGCATCATAATTTGGGTTATCTACATGTCCAAATCGTATTGGATCAACATGTGTTAAAAATTCGACATCATCTTGTAAATTAATGCTTAAGAAAATATTTGGTTTAGCTAAAGTTGCATACATAGCACGTAGAGATTTTCTAGGTACAGACCAAAATGCAGCTGTACCCCGTACAGCTCTTCCAATTGCTAAAACAATCAATTTATTTTATTGTATGAGTTTTTTTTTAAATTATATTTTGGTTCGTTTAGATATGTTCTATAATTATCTGTTAACTAGAGTGTTAATTACACTATCAACTCGGTTGTAACAGAGGAAAAAATTTCAAATGAGTTTAAATACTGAACAGAACAAGCAGTTGATATGCTTACATGGATATATATTATAACATAAACGATCTTTCTTGAATTGTTTTTTTGCATGATAATTTACAGCTGTACATAGATCATCTCTTTGAATTAAATTCATAGCTCGAAATGTCCAAATAGAATCTGATTGCCATCTTTTATCAGCAGACATCAATCGTAGTTTACAATAATCACGTAGTTTAAGTTTAATAGGTCTTTTCATATCAAGTTCGCCTCCTTCACCTGTAGGATAAATCCATGGAAATGTACATTCTTCCATTCCAGATTCAATTTTCCATACAGGATCTTCACCTGCTTGTAGTGTACGACTTTATAAAAAGATATAACATATATATGGAAAAGAATACAAGTTCAATTTATACCTAGGACCAAAAAACTCTTCATTAACATCAAGAACAATTGGTGCAGACGTTGTACAATTATTATAAGCATACGAATCAATAATTCTTATAGGAGCAACATCTTCATGTCTACATTCAAACATTTCTTCTATTTTTCTTAAAGGTAGAACTTGTTTATTTAAATATCCAGAATGATTTTGAATTAGAAACTGTAGTGCTTTAAGAATTTGAATAGCACTAACTGAGTATCGTACTGTGGATCTTATTTCATTATTGTCATTGGATGGTTTTTGTTGAATAACAGCCATAAATTCATAACATTTTGGTAATGGTAAGAGGTTACCTAAAATTTGTAAAAAAGATTCAAGTATCACATTTAAATGCATAATAAAAAGTCACCTATATTATCAGCAATATCAGCTTGACAGTGTACCACTTGGCCTTTCATTGCTGATTGATGACCACGAATAATCAGTATACTCATATAACAATGCATAATTGCCACTGCTCGTTGTTCAAGAAAACCAAGTTTTAAACATGTAGGTGAAATAGGAATTGACATCATATTTCGACTGTGAGAATGTGGACAAAAAGGTGTATTTTCTTTTGGAATAAAATCGTAACAAAATACACAGATCATATCATTGACAATACAGTCATGATATTTTTCATGTTCTTTTTTAGCTGGTCGCATGTTGCATTCTGGATGTTCACACATGCAACAGTGACAAGAAAGCCATACTTGTTGAACTTCAGATAAATATCTATCATAGAATTTTATTATTATAAATTTGATTATGTAAAATTTTATCGTACCTTTCACTTAGAAAGTTGTGTATTATTCGCGTATCAAATACTTCTTCAGTTAATTGTAATTCAAGACTTATTGATAGAATAGAACTATCATTTTTTTTATCGATTTTTCTTCTTCTTTGTCGAGATGGTTTCGTTGAACGAGATGGTTTAGAATTATTTTTACGAATCTTAGATGGTTTCTGAGTGGCTTTCTTTTTTCTATGTGATTTTTGGCGTGACGGTCTAGCACACCATTTTTTATTCTCCTTTCGTTTTCGAGCCATCCTGAAAGATATCTTTAAGTTAAAAAATTACAATAGCTCACTTGTTACTTAATTATGCTTTCGTATAAATTTGTAAATTAAATAAATTGATTTGGTTAATGAAAAGATAATTTAAATTTTAAAATAGCAATATTGTTTTAATATATGAAATCTATTTTATTTGAATTCGTCCAACTTTTTTACGATTTATCTAGTCGGAAATTCAATATGACATAGAAATAGATTTTTAAAAATTTTAAATTAATCATACTTTTTGCTAATCTTATTTTGATTTTATTTTAACCTATTATTTTAATGTAGTTTGATTTTAATATTTAATCTAGTCAACAATATATATCTTGCTCTTATTCTAATTCATTATTTAAATATAATTTAATGTAATAATCAATCTAATTAAAGTAATTTTTTCTTTAATTTTATTGTATTATTATGATATAACTTGATTAACCTTGAATTTGCGAAACAAGAAATTTTTTTGTTAGATTTAATTTAATTTTATGATTATAATATAACTTGATTTCTTCTTCAATTTGATCAAAAAGATAAATTTGTTTTATTTTATTCTATTATTTTAATATAAATTGATGTAACTTTGAACTTGATGAGATAGGCAAATTTCTTTCAATTTAATTTTGTTATTCTAATATAATTTTATTTAAAATTCAATTTGAACTAAAAATACATTTTTGTTATATATTTTTTTATTGTTTCAATGTAAATTGTTCTAACAAACAGATAAAAATTTTTTTAATTTTGTATTATTGTTGTTATATAATTTGATTTAAAATTCAATATGAGCACAAAGATAAATTTGTTTTTTATTTTAATATAACTTGATTTAAGATTGAATATGACAAAGAAGGTAAATCTGTATTTTAATTAATATTAATAGTGCATATATTTATATACAAAATTTAGATGATTTATATAGAAAAGCGCGTTAATAAAACGAATTTATAAACCATTAAAAAAAAATTTTTTTTTATTCAACTGATTGCAATTTATTTTAATATTAAATAATATTATCGATTTTGATGAAATCAAATAAACAAGATACGTTTCTCCTTGGTCATGCTCGGAGAATGCGCAACTATCGCAAGCGTCAACTACAACAAAATTCTGAAGAATATAAAATTCGTGTAAACAGCCACCAAAGAAAATGCCGTTTATCTAATCTTTCTAAGATTAGTTCAAATCCTAAAAAAACACAAACACTTCAATCAATCGTTAAAACACGTATAGCCAATAGAGAAAGACAACGTCGTTATCGGCTAAATCTATCAAATGAGAAAAAAAAACTACGTCAAGAAAAAGATCGAAATTATAGAAGATTAAAACGACAACAACAAAAAGTAGACCAGTCAAATGAAGACGACAATAATCACGTATCTCCACCATCTACAGTCTTGGAAAATAGCATGAACTCTGAGTCGATTAAAACTTTTTTCTATAGATTCTCGTTAAAATCTGATTCATCAATTTTTAGCGAATAAAATTTCATTTGTTTATACTTCGTTTATTGTCATAAATAAACTTTCTCAATAGTATAATATTATGTTTTATTTGATTACTATTTTACAGACATTGAGTCGATGTTTGCCTCTGCCGTTAAAAATATGACGATAATATTGGTCATTGTTTCTCTTGCCTTATCGGTCACGTCTGTGACGAGGTCAAAAGAACATCTGTCGGTCACGTCTGTGATTCTGTGTCGGTTACGTCTACATTGTTCTACGATGCTCTGTCGGTCACGTCAGTGATGGTGTACTATAACCCGTCGGTCACGTCTATGATGCTCTATAATATCACGTAGATTATATGTGTGATATTTTGTCGGTTAGGCCTGTTATTTTTTAGCATGCTCTGTCGGTCACGTCAGTAATGGTTTGGTAAGTTTTGTCGGTCACGTTTGTCATTGTTTTCCATGATATTTCGGCTACTTCTGCTGCTCATGTCGGTCCCGTCAGTGACACTCTGTCGGTCACGTCTGTGTTGCTTTGTCGGTCACGTCAGTGACGGTCTATAATGCACTGTCAGTCGCCGCCTTTGATGTTCGGTCGGTCACGTCAGTGATGTTCTGTCGGTTACGTCTGTGAGTTTTTGTCGGTCACGTCAGTGGGGGGGGGCGGGGGGGAGTGGGTCCAAATTTCTACCCCTAAACACTTCAACACTCCTTTTAGATCGTGTTTCACAAAAGATGAAACAGCTTTAAATAATCAGGATCATACTCATACGTATCTAATCTTATTCGAATCAATACAAAAATAGTCTTTTTTTCTCATTTTATAAAGTAATAATTACTTTAAAAACGAATTGAACGTAGACTAAATTTAAAACCACTTGGAAATGAAATTCTAATTAAGTATTATATGCATAAATATATTAAATCAT